TTTTAATAACCACATCCTTCGGCCATTGGATAAGATGGCGGTTTCAGAACGCATGGCGCGACCACTTTCGTATCTTCTTCGTTCCCGTCGTCTTCTTCGTCTTCGTCTTCATCTTCGTCTTCGTCTTCGTCTTCGTCTTCGTCTTCGTCTTCGTCTTCGTCTTCGTCTTCGTCTTCGTCTTCGTCTTCGTCTTCTTCTTCTGCTTCTCCCTCTTCTTCTCCCCTTTTTCCTCTTCCTTTTCCTTTCCACCTCCTTTCTTCAACGTCTCCACGTATGTCACTTCCGTGTAACACGCCATTGTACTGTTGAATCGCATGAATCGAGTTCGATCGAAACTGCTTTTTTACATCGTGATATTTTTCTTTATTTCTATTAGTCTTATTCTTTAGTCTATTTACTTATATATTTCGTACATATAAAAATGAATATATTAATCGTACTTTTATCAATCTAAGGGAATAATGTTATTAATAATAATAATCAAGATTTATTTCGAAGATTAGTTCTTTTAATTAGAATTAATGATAATTATATCAAAGAAATTAATAATATTATTAAATAAAATGATTATTCTATAACCGTATTTCTTATGTGATTTAGATTCGTCGAATTGCCGATGTTGGATAGGTAGGTGGGTAACAGGAAGGAGAACGCCATTCGTCGAGCGTGTCATTGCCAGTTATGTTCTTGGAGAGAACCGTTAGTCTTTGAATTGACGATTCACGGATGCGCGTTATCGGAAATCGACGCGAACGTAACGTGAACGCCTATCTTGTACTTACTTATCGTAGAAACCATGTCCTTGTCGTTTGATGGCGACGACGATGGCGATGGCAATGGTGAGCTTGGTAGGAGTGATTGCGTTAGTGTTAGTGACTCGTAGTAGCAATGGTTGCAGTTGTGCACGCTCGCAATCGCCACGGCGGAACCAATTACGTGCTAAACCATCCATCAAGCTTTATAAGAGAAACCTCCCATTATTTTAAAGCTTATGTTTTCTAAGGACAATCGTAGGATGAGCTCGCTTCTCGTCCATGCGAGCGGATTAAAAGACCCAAGTTACGGAAGCTGTTACTCGTGCTGCTTCAGAAGCGGCCGAGTCATACATATATGCTTTGGCTTATTATACGTTATCCGCACAACATCACTTATCTTATTACGTAGTAATCGTTGAATAACTCGCTAAGTACGTAAGCCTGTTTTCTACATCGCGGAATAACAAGTAAGTAAGTAAGTAAGTAAGTAAGTAAGTACAAGCATTTTCTATCTTCCGTTCTTGACTGTCGAAACGCATCATCTGTCGAGAATCTGATATCCGCATTGAATATACATTGAATATGTATGTGTATATGTATGTATATATATATCTTATTTAAGAGATATACATTGTTAAAACCAATACAATTTATTCCCAAAAAAGAAATGAAAAAAAAAAACAGAAAGGGACTGAATAAATATTTAATCGTACGATTTCCCGCAAGGAAATCATTTGATGTAGATATTGCTCGAATGTCATTGAAACGTTCAAAGTTCATCGACATTCTCTCGACGAATGGTAAGGGTTGAAACAATTCACATTGAAAAGGAAAAACTAAACTTTCAACGTAGATGTTTAATGAAAAACTTTTCCCTCTCTCTCTCTCTTTCTCTCTCTCTCTCTCTCTCTCTTACTCTCTCTCTCTCGGTGATGATCGATAATTTATCCATGCGTTTACCGGAAATCGCTCGATATATTCGAGGGAAAAAACTTTTTAAAGTTTACCCCGATCCCATAAAATCGTCGTACACTTTCATACAATATTTATATCATAACGATATAAATTACTCCTCTCCTCTCCTTGAATAGGAATTGCGTTCGAATGAAAAGAGAAAAAGAAAGAAAAAAAAGAAGAATGGGAGGGAAGAAGCGAGAGAAAAAAAAGGCACACAAAAAGAAAAAGAAGAAGACAGAGCTACTACGAACGATCAAACGTGATTCATCGATTTCGCGAGCTGAGATAAGATCTGCATAAACGATTTGTGGCACGCGATATATATATATATATATATATATATATATATATTTATATATTTATATATTTATACTTAAATAGAAAGTTTCCCGTTGCTCGATGAACGAACAACGAAGCCAATTAAATCGTCTTATCGCATTGATAATCGACTACGGGGGATAATAAACGTGTCTTTTGCGCTGTTCGAAACTTTTTTTTCCAATCGATGTTTAATCGAGCTGTTTTTCTATTGGTACGAGAATCGTTCTACATCGTCGTTAGCTTCGCAGTTGTGAACTAATTACTGGGCGCCGGTAGTATGACTATAGAAAAGGTAACGTAGTTGATCGTACTCCGCGTTCTGTCCCTTTATATCCTCGCCATTACATTACTACTACT